GGTGGTCCTTGAGCCTCAGCATTGGAAGCATGCAGGTACCCAGGGAGCAGCGAGCCATGTTGGGGCTTGTACGGAGCAGGGTGAGCATGGCCCCCTCTCGGCTCCTGGGGGAGCTGGGGAAGCAGCCTGGAGAGGGTGGTGGGTGGCCATGGGAGTGAGGCCCCCCGTGAGCGCGTTATAGACGGGAAATGAAGGCTGAGTGCTGTGTCTCCTGCGCCTCCGGCTGGGTCTGCTCCAGGCGGGGACTTGGGAGGCCGGCGGGCTGACTCTGTTTCCCCATTTCTGCCCTTGCCCTGCTCTGTCTCTCCCATGGACTGTGTGATCAGCCCTGAGCTGGCCCTGGGTGGAAGGTGGGTGGGCAGGGCCGGGGGGTGAGAGCAACTCGCCCTCCCTGGAACTCTCCCTGCTGGGCTGCAGAGGTGCTGCATCCTCTGCGCCTGCCCCATGCACTAGACCAGGACACGGCCACCTCCTTCATGGCCCAGACCGGGATGGGGTAGTCAGGTTCTGCCAACCGTGGGACCCTGGCTCGAATACCAGCTGCAACTGCAGTCCCTCTGTCTCCCTCTGAGGAATGGAGGGGTGCTGCTGCCCAGCCCACAGGGCTGCAGGGCTGGGACTGGGCAGGGAGTGAGGGATTCTTGTGGGTTCCGCAAAGGGGCGGTGCTCTTACTCTCAGGCTCAGGGCCCTGGCCTTTCTGTGCCAGGGGCAGGCAAGGGGGTGGGGGCCCGAGCAGGCAGAGACTGGGTCTTTGTTCCCTCCCGCTGCCCTTGCCCGGTGCTGGGGAAGCCCGCGGGTGCCGGGCTGGGGGCTGGGCTCTTGACAGGCCGAGTAAGTGCCTGGCAGTGCCAGCGTGCCCAAGCGCAGGAAGGGGGTGTGAGCTGCAGCCACCTCCTGAACCAGCTCACAGACCATGGCCTGGGGAGTCCATGCAGAGGGCCAGCCCTGCCACTCGCTCCCTCTGACCCTCGGTGTCCTCATCGGTAGGATTCAGACCTCAGCACTGCCTGGCTCAGCTTCCCTGCCGGGGCTAGAGGGCTAGGCACTGGCTGAGTCACCGGGGCCCTGGGTGCTTGCTCTGTGACCTTGGGCTAAGCCATGCTCACTCTGGGTAGGTGGTCCCTACCTGCAGGTGCCAGGCTCCCAGCTCATGCACCCTCTCTGAGCCTCTGAGCTCCTGTTATTCCACCTGTTTCTCCCATGCCCTCCCCCATGGTCCCTGACCACCCCCGGCCATCCAGAGCCAAGGTCCTTAATGTCGGGTTCCCCTGAGTTCTGCATGCCTGGCTCTTGGGGGGCTACATCTGCTTTGTCTCTGAGCCTTAACTCCTGCTGCTCTCCTCCTGACCGACCCCCACTTTGCCTCCTGGGTCCCTGTGTTGTCCCCCGGGATTTCCACGGCCATTTCTTCGCGTTCTCACGGGAGGAGGCCCCGCGCCACTTACTCACTGGCACATTCATCCAGCTGCCATTTCCTGCACGGCCGGGCAGTCCCGGGAGTGGGAACATGCCCGAGGGAAAGCTCAGTGATGTCAGGCTGGGTGGCTGGATAATGGGGCTTTCGTCGCGTTGTCTGATAAATGAATCAGGTGCTTTGGCAGGAGTGACTAAGGCCAGGCACCAGGATAACCTGGAGCACAGCGGAGCAATCCCCTTGAGGGGGGTTCTGACAAGCAGACCACTGAAGAGACGGACATTTCCCTAGGGTGGTCCTGCTCTGAGCCTGGGGATGGGCGGGCAGCCTTCAGCCGAGGGGTCCGCTCCACCTGCCACCCCCACAACCCCACAGGGCCCCTCCCCAGAGACAACACAGTCCGGGCTCACGAATGGGGCAGGTGCGGGCGAAGGCAAGCCCGTGCTGGAACCAGCCCCCTCCCTGCCGCTGCCACTGCACGGGTACTCAGGCCTGTACCCAACACTGTCTGCACTGGGCCGCCCTCTGCGTCAGTGTGGACGTGCCCGCGACACCGACACCGATGCCCAGACCTCGGCTGCAGCCAGAGGGCCTGGTGCAAAAGCCCAGGTTCTGGGGGGAGCGTGTTACATGCCCGTTGCTGTCCCCTTGCTCGTTCTGGGCCCTGCCAGGGCTCAGCCCCCACCTCCATCTAGGACTGGCCGCTCTGACTCCTGAGAGCCAGGAGACCCGAGAGCCGGCAAGCTCAGAGGCGTGCTGCTCCCTCCTGTCCCATGCAGGGGTGATGTCGTACAGGGCGTCAGGCAGAAGCTAGGTCCCCACCCTGCTACCCCGAGGCTGCTCCCCAGGTGCGTCACCCCCATCAGGCTGGGAACCTTCTTCTGGCCCTTCAGATTCCCTATAAGGAAGTGCGTGCATGTGCAAACACTCACTCGCGCACACACACACACACACACACACACACACGCACGGCCTCCCCATTTCTCATACCGGACAAGCCCCAGCAGGCCCATATGACGGACGAGCTACCTGCCTCTGAAGGCAGCTTCCTCGGCACGGCGCGTCCTGGGAAGCAGGCCCTCGTCAGGCATGGCCATTAAAGACCATCGTGAGAAGCCTTGGGGGCTTCAGGCCCATGGTCCCTGGCTGGGCCAGGTGAGTTCTGATCGGTGACATGGGATGGGGCCCCTGCCGGGATCCCCCTTTACCCTGCAGTCATCAGGCTTCCTGGGGCTGCCCTGCTGCACATTGCAGGGCACGTCATCTACTCTGTCTGCTGTGTGTGGACAGGGTCTCCACACGCACCTCCCTGCCCACACCCTCAGGGCTGCAGGCAAGGAAACGCAGGGCCCTTCCGCTTGGTGACTGAGGGGCAGGGGAGCCCATCGAGGGTTTCTGCACACGGCTGGCCGGGCCGCGGTCACTGAGAAAATATCCTAGATGCTGGGAGGAAGTGGCCGGGTAGGCGAGGGCACAGGATGGGACCGTGATGAGGCTGGGACAGTTGTTCGCAGGGCAGAGTGTCGCAAGGTCGGGGTCATGGCAGCGGAGGAGAGGGTGAAGAGGACACAGCTGCAGGGGTGGTAGGGCTTGGACCCCCCAGGAGAGTGTCCTGGTGCGAGCCAAGGGTCCCAGCTTCTCCGGCTCCAAGCCCTTGACTCGAATCACAGCGGCCAAGCCGTATGGCCAGGGAGGGGGGAGTGCAGGGGAACCCAAGTCCCTGTTCACCTCCCCAAGAGGCAGCTCCCTGTGCATCTGCCTGCTGAGTGCCCAGGGAGAGCCTGAGCACTCGGGAGTGCATCCTCTCCAAGGGCACCTCCCGGGGCTGGCCACGGCGGGCCCACCGTGTGGCTCAGACAAGCTCGTCCCAGCCAGTCCTCAAATCCCCGTTTACAATAGGAGAGACCTAAGCATGACCCCGAGGAACCCAGTGTTCAGGTTCAGGACTGCGGTTCTGGCCCAGGCCCTGGGTTCAGTCCCAGTCTGGTCTTGATACCCAGGAGTAATCTGGGAGCCAGGACCCAGCTGAAGAGGAGAGGATTGGAGCCCTGCACAGAGGGCCTTTAACGGGGATGAGGGACCGGGCAGGGGGCCTGGCTGGGGGCCAAGCAGGCTTGCCAAGTCAGGGGAGCGGGGCAGGGCCTTCCTGGCCAGGCAGACCCC